TGTATCTTTTGTAGAAAAAAGAAGAAGAAAAAGATCACACTAATTGGTTTAAGTTTCTGTCCTAGTACTTTAATTTGTACTGCCTGTATGGAATATGCACAATTACCAGTGCAGCAGTGTGTTACCTACAACTTTTTTCAAGGTTAGGCTTTTCTTGGTTTAGGGGGTGGGGGTTGAGTGTGAGGTTACAATTGGTTAATATATACCTGCAGATGGCTTTTAACTTCATCATTGGTCAAACCATCAACCTTCATCAGTTCTCTAATTTGTTTTGGAGTGGCCACTGAAATCATTATATTCAAAAGATAGTTAGCCTGTTTTCTTGATTGTTCTCAAAGTAAGAAGACAACCAAATGATGATATAGATGATTTTGTTTTGCACTATAAGCTCATTTAAAGATAGCTATAAGTATTCGTTTATAAGAAGTAGGAATGTTAACTTAGAAAGGAAGACAGATTACTTGTTATAACATGTTAAGAGTACAACTAATAGTGAAAAAAATTATATACTATTTGTGTATATAAGTTAAATTCAACACAAATATATAAATTCGTCTTTCTTGGCCTTACAACGAAAAAAATATGAGCTTGCCAAAAAAAAAAAGAACAACCTACAAAGAAAAACAAAAGAATATGAAAAAAACCACGTTCCAAAAAAGCTTGTTTGACTCTTGAAATCCGAACGAGGCCGGATAAATTGGAAGGGAGGGGTAATATTTTTATACTGTCAGGTTATATTACTACCAATGACGTGTATTTCTTAAATCGTAAAAAACAACAGATTAAATTATACCGATAATATAAAATAAAAAGCTTGGTTTGCACAAATATATCTTACCTTGAGAACCACCTAACATCTGAAGAGCATTAACAAAACGCCTGTGTAAATCAGGTGACCAACATCTTCTTGCCTTTCTATGTTGTTGAGTACTTGTACTGTTGGTTACAGCTCCTGTACTTTGAGAATCTGGCTGCAGATTGATAGTAGAAGCTCCTTTTCCTTGCTCTAATATTGAATTATCTTTTCCTGAATAATTATTCACTGTTTCCAAATTCTTGTTATCTTCCACTATTCCAATACTTTGTTTAGTTGAAGCAAGAGCTAGAGTTGGGCTAGAAAAATTGTTGTCTAAGGCTAGTTTTGAAATACCCATATCAGTAGTTTCTTTAAAAGATGTTAGTGTGGATTTTTCTTTAATTTCTTCACTTCCTGGACTCCATAATTGTGCAGAAGTCATCCAATTTGCCTTATTATGATCAGTTGTGTTTGATATATTCTTTTCATCTCCTTCACCACTTGCATTATTATTCTTAAGTGGAATAAATTCTTCAAGTACTGGTTTTCGCCCTTGATTTTCTCTATAGGATTGAAGTTGTTGTCTTGAAGCTTCCATAGCTGTTAATTTCCAAAAATAAAGTGAACCAATATTAGAATTGGTGCAAGAAATAAGATCATTAAATATTAACCAATTTAGCATATGTAAACTTTTTGTGCTATTAATTGAAGGAGCCGATGGTTTGTCGAAAATAATATTTTTACCTTCACAAAGTAGGGATAAAGTCTGCATACACAGTATCCTTTTCAGATTCCATTTTGTGAAATTATACTGAATTTGTTGTTGTTATTATTGTTATTATTGTTGTGCTATTAATAGAAGAAATCAATAATTAACCAAGTACTTTTTGAATCCTACTATTCTTGATTTGATACATCACGCACATATAAAGTTGTAAACACAGAAAACCATTTGAATCTTATAAGCTATAAAATGAAGAATTTAACTTTTATACGCCTAACAAATTATCTAAAGATAACTACAAGCAACTATTCATGAAAGTAACAGATTAGTAACCTAAAAAATAAAGACATATAATTACATGCTGCAACATATTAAAATAAGACTAAGCATACATGAAAGACTCAAGCTAGTGAAGGAACATGATTATGAATATATTCATATTTACCTTATGTAATTTTAAACTGTACACTACTGTTATATATGTTATAGAGAGAAAAGCTTGTAAGCCTAGCTATGAAGGAAATATAAGCTTGATATTCTCATGAGGATGTGTAAAATAGAATGAAGAGATAAATTACCATTGGTTAAAAGTTGCATGCAAAGGGGAAGTTCACGTTTGAAAGCATCAATCTTAACCCTTTCTTCTTCAAGTCGAGCAACAAATTCTTCTAAATTTTGTGTTTGGTCAATTTTCTCTCCAAAGGATTTTAGAAGCATAGAATAGCTTTGATGGGGTTTGCATTCAAGGCTTAATTCTGAAGGTGAGGACATCATTTTGTCTAGATTTTCAAGATTCAAGATTCACAAACTATGACACCAAATTAAGAGAATTATAATTATATAATTCTCAAACTACAAATAGCTTAAAAAGAAGCTAGAAAAAGAGTGACCTATTCCTTTCTAGGTTTGAAACACAAGAGGTGGAATAGAGAGAAAGGGAAGAGTTGTTTGTTTATGAACACAATGAGGATCAAGATGTGAGGAGGATAGTGGTCTTTTTAGAGGGTTGAGTTCGAGGGAGAATAAAGTAAGATTCTGAAGTGAGAGGGGAAAAAAAACAAAGTAAAAAGGAAAAGCAAGGGAAGGATTAAAGAAAGCAAGAAAGAAAAGAGGGGATGGTAACTTCTTGCAAAGAGCAAAGGCAAAAAGCCATTTGGTAATAAAAGTGTAAAAGGGGTATGCTGTCGTGAGGTATATTTGGCTATGGAGTTTCACTTTTATACCTTTTAAAGTGTATGGAGTGCACGAAATATTTCGCGTTTATGCCGGGTTCGAGAAATGATCGCACCCTAAAAAAATATGATATATGCAGTTGACCCTGATTCCAACATCAGTGACTAATTTCATGGTTCGAACCTTTGACCCAGTGGCGGATCCAGAATTTTCATCAAGGGGTGTCAAAATATAAATAATTAGATATATCGAA